ATGGTGCCCTGTCTTCAAGATACTGTGGTACAATAGTGGCACAAAGCATGCGGAAGTAACCAACCAATATCTGATTGGAATTAAGGCCCAGCCCATGAGATGGAGCTCATGCCTGATACTGCCAGAAGGCCAAGACCCTGAGACTAGATAGGCCATGGGCCTAGGGGAAAACAAAATACCATTTTTCTGCTAAAGGAACATAGAAAGTGACTCCCAACGACCTTCTGGTATAACTATAGATCAGTGTCTCACTCAGCCACCATCAGAGTAGCTTCTTCTTGTAGTAGATGGAAACTAATACAGAGACTAATAACAGGACATTATTCAGAGAGTGAGAGACTTTGGAACACTCAGTTCTATATGGGATGTCTTACTCATACTTCTCCTCTCCAGGCTCAGGGAGCTATGTGAAAGCAGAGGCAGAAAGAGTGTAAAAGCCAGAGTGAACATGTGGAATTGAAGAAACAGTGTCTTGCAGACACAGCAAGATTGATGTCCATGTGAGCTCACCGAACCTGTGGCAGCATGTATAGGGATTGCACAGGTTCAAGCCCAGCAGGGTCCCAGTGCTACGAGGGCAGTGGACATGAGCACTAATCCCTTATCAAGAAACTATGTACAAATGACAACCAGTTACAAAGGAAAAATCACTGTTTTCCAATGTAGTCTCACTGGGTATATAAACACTTAAGGGTAGGCCCCAAACCCAGGAGTAAATAGCCAACACAAAATTAACTCAATAGTATTTTTGTAGATTTTTTCTCCCTCATATTGCTTTGTTTAGGATTTTTTCTCTTAATCTTACTGATCTTTTGCTTGAATATTATGGCTTCTGATTTTGTGTTCTTATGGGTTTTTGGTGTATGAAAAAAATTTTAATACAAAAAGTCACTTCCCTCTACTGCTTCAATGCCAAGATCCTCACTCTAGCTTCTCACTTTCTGACTACAGTGCCATATAGGCTCTTTTTATGGGCCTGGTTCACTCCAAGCTCCAAGACCAGTTTTCCCTAGTTTCTAATGAAGCTACCCCTTGGTGTCTTAGGATGGCTTGCTGGTTTTGTCAACTCCATTCGTATTTCTATACATGATGCCTCCATTCCATTCGTATCAAGCCCAATGTGAGGGTGCATCCTCTGTCTTACCAAGGCTCTTACTGATATAATGAACATTTACTTCAGAAGAAAGAAATCAGTACCACTTGAGTCTCTCTTATAGGACAAGCCAGAGTGGAGAACTTTTGTGGGAGAGTTTTAATAAATGCCAATATATCTCATGAAAGGAGTATGAGATGGGTAGAAGAACCTTAGCTGCTAACCTTCAGCACTCAGCTGCTTTCCATTACACTTCTTCAATTTTCCAACTTAGCACGCAAACAGAAGAGACACAACCAGAGAACACTGTTCTCATTAGCCTGATCGAGAACAAACATGCCAGCATTTCTAAGAAGTTCAAAATACTATTTAGGTCCATATGAATCCAAAAGCAGTACAGCAAGGAGCAAGTATGTGGTTTTTGTTCCATTCCATTTTATGTATGGGGTTAAGTGAGCACGGTTAAGTATAGTTTACACACTGTAATGATTAATATTCATTGGCAACTTGATTGGGTGTAGAATCACCTAGGAAGCACATATCTGGGCTTGTCAGTGAAGAAGTTTCCAGAGGGGATTAACTGAGGCCCTGGGCTGAATAAATGAGTGGAGCACTAGTGTCCATCTCTCCTTGCCTCCCAGCTGGAGACACAGTGTGGCCAGTTGCTTCACACTCACGTCACCACAACCACAGCTACTCTGCTTTTCTTGCAGTTGAACTGTTTCTCTCAAACTGTGAGCCAACAGAAACTTTTCAGTCCTTAAGTTGCTTTTGTAAGGTATTTGTTATAGCAACTGGAAAAGTCACAGATATACATACCTAACTATTTCTGGGGTGATTAATAACTTTCAATTATTCAATTAAAAGGAATGCTAACTCTTCTATTCGTGAGTACGCGTGCATGCAAGCACACACACATATAATAATGATTAAGCAGCTGGACTTAGTGCCACAGGCCTGCAATTCCAGCAACTTGAGAGGCTATGGTAGGAGTATCACGAGTTTAAGTCCTGCCTGAGCTAGATGGAGTCAGTTCTAAGTCACCCTAGACAAGTTAGTGAAACTCTATCTCAAAATACAAAGTGGGGAAGTCTGAGATACAGCTCAGGAGTAGAGTACATTTCCGAAGCCACTGGTTAGATCCCAGCACCACCAAAGAATGATTCAAGTTCTCAGGGTGCTGTCCTTTGGCTTGAGAATGTTCCTCAAAGACATGTGTCCATCTTGGTTCACTGGCAGGTGGTGAAAAATTTAAGAGGTGGTGCTGAAGGGGAGAGTTTAGGCACTAGGGGTGTGTCTTTGAAAGTGATTATTCTGGTCTTTTCCACCTCCTCCAATCCTGCTGTGAGTTCAAGTGGCTGGGTTCTACCACACACTGTTAGATCACCACAGGTCCCTGAACAACACAGTCAGCTAATCATAGGCTGAAACCCACAAGACTAAAGCAAAGCAAACCTTTTTCTTCAGGAGCTGATTATCTCCTCCATCTGTTTTAGAAAAGGAAAGCTTAGCAATGGTTAACCAACACATTCCAATATTGGTCCTGAACTTACCGTGCTTAGGTGATCTGCCCAGCTTCCCTTGTGAGAATATTCTAGCTGTGATGAGGGTCAGGAGAGGCCCTCATTCTCAAATCCTTTTATCAATAAAGCCTTCTTTTCTCCTCTTTGTTGCAAGTATTTTTCTAGGACACTAGAGGTGCACTGAGATCTTTTGTGCACAAGTTGTTCCCACAATCAAACATAAAATAACCACAGTGTAGGGGAGAATGTAAAAAGTAAGACTTATAAATGGACAAATGTTTTATCCCCTGCTTTCTTACAATTTCATCCTACTTTGATTTTTAAAATGTAGATTGTTCTGGTCTGACAAAATGCACCAGTGAAATAAAGGCCAAAACTGAACCAATGAAATAAAGACCAAAATTTAATAATGAAGTTTTAATTGCTTACAATTTTGACATGATCAGCTTGATTACTTTTTATGTTCACTTGAGGGTTTTGTATTTCAGAGGAAACTTGTCTTGATATTGTTCATATGTCCCAGATGTGACCTACTTTCGTTCTGGGAATGAATATTGAGCATGCCACCAGCAAGTCAAGCAGGCATGGCTATTCAGGAGCTATTTATGTGGCATGCCTATGGGAACCAAATATGTAAACCCAGCTGGCCAGTGAAACCTTCACTGGGCTTGTACTGTATACTGAGTGACACTTCAGGCTCCCAAATAGCATAAACAAATACCAAGTACTAGTGTCTGAGTAGTTCTTGAACTAGTTTAAATGAAAGACTAGAAAATGCCACAAGGTAAAATAAATAAATGCAAAAATAAAACCACAGCAGACTATGATCAATAATAGAAGCTGGAGAGTGGCAAAGAAGCACTCCATACAATGTAGGCATTTATTTAGTTCAAGGAGAATTTGGGGAAGGTCCACAGAGGAGGTGAAATTAGAGCAAACTAAACTTTAATTACAGTACTAAATTAATTTACTTACAGTGTTCGCTATTGGCTTGTCATACTAGAATCTGAAGTCAGCATAAAAAAGTGAAGTGGCTGCAAACCAGAAATGCAGAAATTCTGACTACGTTTAAATGTAGTGAGGCCATTATTGCTGTTGTGTTCCTTTTCATTTACTATTCATTATTTTCTTTCTTCATCTCTTTATTGCTTCTCAATTTATTTATTAAAACATTGGTAGGAAATAAGATACATTTATGCTTCATTATTTCAAATGGGGAAGCTTATAATGTTATTGGTGATTGAGACTGTGCCTTTGATATTTACATGGTGTGTTTTAAGCAGGTATCTGTGATATTTGCTTTTTAAGGGGCTGGAGAGTTGTCTCCAAGGTGAAAAGCACTTGTTGCTTTTGCAGAGGACCTGGGTTCGATTTCCAGCACCCTCATGGCTCATAACCATCTGTAACACTATTCCCAGGAGATCGGATGTCTGAGGACACACACATACATGTAGACATAATACTCATCCATATAAAATGAACAAATCTTTAAAATTAAAATAATGCCTTTTATATTGAGGTTCTACAAACTCTATGTTGTTAGCAAAGAAAGGAGAAGTACTCACCTTTGTTTTTTGTTTTTTCTGTTTCTTATGTTAAATAAAGCAATCCACCAAGAGAAGATATTTAATATCTTCTGTTTTCCTCAGACAGGTGATTAATATCATCTTTATTTACAGTAAGAGACTGAGAAGAAAAATAGTTCAGGAACTTGACCAGGGTCCTAACAATCGAGAAGGGAAAACAGGGCTTTCCATCCAGCACTCCTTCACAAGTAGCTTGTTGCCATTATTCCTGACAAGCCCGCAACAAGCTTTACCATGGCAATCACTGACTTGGGGCAACAGACAGTACTTGTAATGAATAATCTGACTGAGACACAGTTCATTTTGAGATACTTTTCTGTTTTAAAAATATCAATACTACATATAAATGAAATAGGAAAAATGTCTCCTATAAATTCCAGAGCAGTATAGAGAACATATGAACTTCACATTCAATAAAAGGGTCATGTTTGTGAAGGCAGTTGTACAAGAAACTCATAACAAAAGCTTCAGATGGAACAGACAGGAACATTAGCATAATTTACTAACCTCAAAACTCATTAAGCTGACCTCATTATCCTCCGTGTGTGTGGCTTAAAAAAATTATGTTTGTGGAGAACTAGTGAGATGCCTCAGTGGGTAAAGGAGCTTGGTGCCAAATGTGGCATCCTCAGTTCAGACCCTAGAACCTACGTGGTGGAAGGAGAAAACTGACTCCCTGGGGTTGCTCTTTGTAGTCCACACAAATACCACAGCATGCCAGTCACACTCCTCTCAATAATAACTAACTAACTAAATAAATAGTATTTAAATAAAGCCTACTGTGATGTGCAAAATAAGGCTGTTTTAATGATTTTAATTCTGTGGTGGTAATACTTGCCACAAGAAATTGCTATTAGCTTTATTTCTTCCTCTACAGGAACCTCTTCTCTGTTGCCACGTATCCAGCACCATCATTCTTTCAGCTTCCTAGTCTACAAAGTTAGCAGGCATAGAGGTATTTTCACTCCAATGAATAAATTATTAGGTCCAACATTTTACTTTTTACAAGAATATCTCTATTTTATCAATGGTTTTAAAACCATATTCTAAGGAACTGGAATGTAGTAATGAAGTAGATGTTAAGAAATTCAGTCCTACTAAGTAAGCATCAATCTCAACAACATGGAACCCAGGTTCCTTGAAAAAAAATGGCTGATTTGAAGACAGGGTCAGGAAAAGTTCCTTCTGTAGTTCATGTCAGGAAGTACAGAAGCACCACCATAGAGATGTGCAAAATGTGTAGAGGGTGAGAGTTCCTATGAGCAGAACTTGACACACTATTACAATGTAATAGAGCTGGAAAAAGTAAATGCATGGCTCCACATTCACATTTCTAAAAATATAAATGTAAGTATAATTCAAAGGGGAAAACTTTTTAAGAGAACCATGTCAGCTAGTTCCACATTCTAACAAATGTGGTGGAATCATGGAGATAGAAAAATACTTTCACACCCATGAAAGTGATACTTACTTCCAGCAAAAATGTTCAGTGGAAGCTGAAAGCCCTAGGAGGGAAGGTTTGGAGAAGGATGCACTTACAGAGTCTTAAGTTCCTTGGGTATTGCAGTGAAAAGCACTGTGATTGTGGAGAAATTGAGAGGATGCCATACTAATTAAATTATAAAACTTTACATCCCTAATAATCAGACATTTCAATACCTTGTTTCTGTAAATATTCTTAGAATGGAATCCTTCCCCCAAACTGTTGAGCCAAATCTGATAACAAAGAAACAATCTGACTAACCTACCAGCCCCTTTCAAAAATGCTGCTGCCCTGGAAGGTCACACACTGAGTAACTAATCTGCATTACAGGAAACTAAAACCACAAGATTATAAGCATAATGCATGGGCCTTGATCCTTTGACTTTGCATTCTTGAAGGAAAAAAAGGCATAAATAAATAATTGAGAACAATTGAGTCAACTTAAGGATTGCATATTAAATGATAATATTATATCAATGTTAGATCCCCTAAGTGTGAAAATATGCATTTATGTTGGAGAAGCCTAATTGATGGATTAATAATATAATTCTTGCTCTTGATTTGTGTATATGAGTAGTAGTAATAGTGTGTATATGTCAATCTGTACATCTATTGAAAATGTAGCAACTAAAATGAAGAAAATTTTATATATAAATATTAAAGTTTCACAAGTAGGCCAGTTCTTTAATTAAAATGGCCAATTTTGTTTTTTTTTTAGAAAAATCATATCAGGTTTATAAGGAAAAGTAAGTAAAAATAATAGTTCATGAGGTGAGGTATGATTTTAATCTCAGTTCTTGGGAGGCAGAATCATGTAGATCTCTGAGTTTAAGGCCAGTTGGGTCTACATATTGCATTCAAGGCCAGCCAAAGCTACCTTAAAAGGAAACCCAGCTTAAAAAAAAAGAAACAACCAAACAGAACAATGCAGTCTTCATTCAGCAGATTCTTTAGCACATAGCAATTAATTTCATTCATCTAGACAAGATGGCTTTGCTTGTAAAACAGTGTTGAACAGAAAGAATGCTGACTACCTGAAGAGACATGACAGCAACAACAGGAAATACAGAGTTGGGCCAAGAAAGGTCACACAGGTTGTTTATGTTACCAAATAATCTGAAAATCTGCTCTCACCTCTCTCAGGATTCTCTTTAGAAAGTTTGAGAGAGACTTGTTGGAAACATGCAGCTTATTAACATGGGGACCTCTCTATGCATCAGTGTGCTTGTTTGTAAGTAAAAGTGGGAAATATTATATTAGAAGGTTGAATTGATATGATAATGATCATATCAGACAAGTATATTCCATCTGTGAAGCACTTAGAGTACAGCACAGCACTTCCTTCTCTATACATTTTCGTATTATTGTAACTTATAGCTTCAGGACCATGTACAATTTTGTCATGTAATGAAATGCAGTCTCTTTTCTATATGGACTAAGCCTTGTTCATATTTTTCTTTTCTTTCTTTTTTTGTTTTTTGTTTATTTTGACTTGTTTTCAGGACAGCTGGGAAATATTTCCAGTTCACACTAAGAGACTTTTAAAAATTCAGTTAAGCAGCATCAAATTTTCCTTAGGTATAACAGGGTTTCTAGGTATTTTCTGCAACTTATACAAATGATCACTTCCCATGTCTTCAACAGGCAGTTCTGTCCCCTTGGTTCTCACACCCCCATTCATTACTGTGTACAAGGAACTAAGCTTCCTCTTGTGTCTTTAAAGGACATATTATATTCTATATTACAGGGTGAACAAAATATCTCTCTGTAGGTAAGTTCACTTTAATGTATTTTCAATTTATATATGCAGTGAGTTCAGAATATCAAATTTTAGCCACAATCATGTAACATATAATTTTCTCTTACATAATAAGATATAACCAATATTTCTATCATTGCAATTGCAGTAGTTTTTAGAATTTGCATTTTATTAAGCCTGTTTAATATGCCTTGTGAACATGTCTTTAGCCATGTTTCATTTATTTTAAATTATATTTTTCAAGTATTAATTTTAACAGTCTTGGAAACAATAGGCAGTAGCTTGATTAGTCATAGTACATGTAAAGCTAGATTATTCTTGCTTTTTATAGACCAGCATCTGCGGATTAAATGATTATCCATATGTGCCGCTGTTTGGTAGTTGTTTTGAGAATCTGCTTATCAGGATTAAAAAAAGGAATTTTGTGCATAAAAATAGGTCACCAATAAGAAGCATGAACCATTTCTCCAAATCAAGTGTGAAATGGTAAATATAGACATGAAATACAATATTTAAATATTTAAAAGACATTCTAGTTGGGTTATATTTTCAGTACATTTCACCAAATGTTTATTTTTACCTGTTGTTTTCAAGTATTTGAAAATTTCCATATATGTACTTTTTCTCACTTGAGTTACTTGGAACAAGTTACAATAGTCATTCAATTATACTACAATTAAGAATTTTAGTAAATGAAATAGTTATATTTCACTTTATTCAGTAAGTATCAGTCTTTCACCTGCAAATTTAAAACAGGACTGAAATGATCACAATGTTTTATAATTTACTTTTTTGTTATTGAACTACTTACTTTAAGTTCTCCAAATCATCATTTATGTACATATTTCACATAAACCCCCTATGTGAAACCATGATAATGGCTACAGACACTGCCTGGTTTTTTGAACTGTATCAACCTAAGAACTGAGCATGTCAACATTCTTCTTCTGTGGTTACTTTAACTTTGTATTTATGGTAATTTACTGGCACACTTATGGTCACTTGTCCCTCCCTTTCCTAAAATCATTCTGAGTAACGGACACTTCTATTCTCACCCACCACCACTGTGCTGAGAATACTGGGATGTCCTTGGATATCTCCCCATCTGGAAGTGCTAACGGGCGCAGCAACAGCAGCAGCAGCAGTCTTTAAGATCATCTAAGCTGTGAGGCTACCTTTCCAGGACAGCCCACCCACCAACTGATCCATCTTCATTTAAACTCAGGACAACTTGGAAGAACAATTCCAGCTAAGTCTGGATCAGATGTAGCCTTCACTGGGACTGTACCACAGCCTGTTTCACTCTCTGCCCAACTTTGTGTGGTTCCTTTCTCAGACTGTTAGTCAAAAACATTTAACAGAGCTGCATGGTAATCTCAGACTCTGTTTTCCAGAAAACACTTTTTAAAAAAGGAAGCTATAACAAAATTTTTGGAAGTTAATCTTTCCCCATACATTGTCATTTTCAATCCCTGCTCTGATGATGTTCATCCTCCAAAGGCAGAGCTGCCTTTACCAGTTCTTTGAGTTTGCAGTTGGCTTGAAATTTGCATGGAAATCTTAGAACTTTCTTTGGCCAGTCCAAGGAACTGGAGACAGTATCAATGGCAAGCACTGAGCAAAAACACATTAAAAGGAAGCTGTGCAGGTGACATAAAAATCTCAAACATATGTACAAAAGCCACAGAGCAAAACTTCTCCTGTCCTGTCTTGTTCCCCAGTGAACACTGATTTTACAGCAGGCAATGGTTCCTGCCAGTGTGAATAAATGGGTATAACCCTTCCTGGCTTGAGTGAAGGAACACATACCCTTGGCTCCCTGCTGTGGAATGTCTTTCTGTATGCTGTGAATATGTGTTGTGCTGATTGGTTGATAAATAAAGCTACATTGGCCTATGGCAGGGCAGGATAGAGCCAGGCAGGAAAATCCAAGAGAGATAGGAGAGAAGAAAGGAGAATGGCAGATGCTGCTAGCTGCCACCAGGAGAAGCAAGATGTAAGGTACCAATGAGCCACAAGCCATGTGGCAAAGTACAGATTTATAGAAATGGGTTAATTTAAGATATAAGACCTAGCTAGTAAGAAGCTTGCCATGGCCATAGTTTAAAAATAATACAAGCCTCTGTATGTTTATTTGGGTCTGAGAGGCTGCAGGACTGGGCAGGACACAGAAAACTTCCATCTACAGTTCCCCTTTTCCAACCACTGTTCAACCCTGCCTGAAAACATCCATGGCAAGGAAGTTTATCCCCGTCTTCCCAGACTGTCACCACTTAATATCCACATGAATTCTGTTCAAGACTGTCCTATTGGTAGTAGGTAAATCACAATGATGGACTGAATAAATGTGATGAGCCGGGATTTTCATCATAGTACATGAATTTGGGCCTTATCACAACTCTGCCAGCTCATGAGAGTTGTTTTTGTCTTGTACACATCCATTCCTTTCTACTGACCCCTTACCCCTGATTCACCTTGATTCTGCAGTCTCACTGGATCAGCGCATCTAAGAGAACTATATTTTTCTGGCAAAGGTTTAGGTACATATCCTAACCTAAGTAATTAGATGATTTATATAAAATTTGAATCTTGCACATGACTCCCAGAAAGAGTGAGCAACCATTTTACTAAACTTGTTCCATTAGGAGAGCCCTAAAAAGAGTCCCCCAATCTTTGTGCTACTGAGATCCGAGGAGCTAACCTTCCCATGTTGGATTTTTCAGCTCTTCCTTTGAAATGGTGACTGTCCCATTTCCTTCCAACAACATTAAAAATATGCCTCCAACTCACCACCAGAAGTTCTCAAATAAAATAGAAACATTGTTCTTGTTCACAGAGACTAAAACTGAGTCAATGAAATTAAGTAACTTGCTGAAGAGTGCTCAAGCAATAATAAAAGGTATCAAGTCTCCAGCACACAAAAGTCAGAGTGATTTCTAAACGATTCTCTTTGCACTTACCTTCTGTAGAGATACATAGGTGAATGTGTATATATATTCTTCCACAGTTGAGTGCCTTACCATAGTTAGCATTTTTAATAATTTTGAATTTTATATACTTTTATGAGAATATTAAGTAAAAAGATGATAAAATTCACCCATTATTCTAGCACCTGAACATGCCAAATGGTCACTATTAACATTTTCATCTATTTTCTTTATTCATTTTTTCCTTTTATTTCCACCCCTCTCCCCATCTATCTCACTCATATGGATATATGCATACACAATACACAGACAAATAGGGATCTTTGTACATAATGAGGCCCTACACCAGATTCAATTATCACATTTCCTTTGAATAACTAAGTTTAGTTCAAAATGCTTTAACAGAAAGATATATGATGTCAATCACTCTTCTTATAAATATTTTATATTGCCCCTTTAGAATGTTGATAAGTACCACTGAAACCTGATTACTAAGAGTCTGAAATTGAAACTATAGCTTTGAAAATTTTATAATCTTTTGAATTACAACTTTTTTCAGAAAGACTGTGCCAATTTATACTTTAAAAACATTTTTAATTGTTTTAAAATTAATTTTATCCACTGTACAAACTTGGACCCTAACTTAAGAAAAATCAATGCCAAGTTGATAGCTCAAAATAATAGCTCATGGTGTATTAGGCATTTCTTCTATTGTTCTATCATTATAAATTAGTACAAGCTAATTACAGAAACATAAAAACACAGAAGATAATTATTTTACATATAAACAGAACAGTTTACCATGTACATTCTAAAATACATATATAATATTTATAAGATTGATGCCTTATTGCTAATTATTTTATATCTAAAATCATATTTAATGTAAATTAACTATAATAAATTTTTCATTATAAAACCTTTTTTCTATTATCAAATATTCTCCCAGTGCTATTTTTATTAGATATGACTCTTCTATAATATTGTTGCTTAATGGACTAGTAATTGATACTTGTCATTAACCAATGTTATATTGTACATTATATTATAATGTTATATTATAATTGACTTATTAATGATCGATCAATGCTTGTAATTGATTTACAATACATATCAGTTCAGTCTATAACTGAATTTGTGATTTCACAGATGGAATTATGGAATTATTCTAGAAATGGAATTATGGGTTTAGAAGATAAAGGTATTTTAAAGATCCTCAGGGTTGGAGAGATGACTCAGAGTTAAGGGTACTTGCTGTTCTTGGAGAGGACTAGAGTTCTGTTCCTGGCACCTATAGTAGGTCACTCAAAAGTGCCTGTAACTCCAGCTCCAGGAGATTTGATGCCCTCTTCTGGCCCCAAGGGAACCTCCACACATGTTGCAGATACCCGGGAACAAAAGTAAAAATAACTCTTTAATCTTTCTTGATAAATACATCAATTTTCCTAATTTTTAATGTATATTCATTCCACACATGTCAATTAGTCTTTTATTGTTGTATTTCAGTGATATGTTGTTCTAACTTTTCAAATTTGAAATATTTTTTCCTTTCTTAATTCACCAATGAATTTAAATGGTCACTCACAATGAATTAAAGTGGTCATTCTTTCCTAGATAAATTTTCTATTCATCTGGAGTCCAGTAGCATAGCCCCTTCCCTGGTGACTCTCTTTAAATATTTTAATAGCTCACTCATCTGTGGTTCTCAGCCATATGTGTCCTCACATGCTTCTAAGGATGTATGGTTATAGTAATTCATATTGCAAAGTTTATAGTTTGCAATTTACATTATCTTCACAATGAATGCTTATATTTTAACTAGAGTGATCTCTAGGAACGAGGAGGCTGGGGTCTCTACCATAAGATAAAGCAGAGAGGAACAGTGGGTGCGCGGTTTGGGGGGGAGACTCACAGTATCTGACTCTTCAGTTCTTACAGCCTATAGTTTTTACGAAGTTACATTACTGTTTACAGTGCCCAGAATATTAAGCAACTCAAAATACTTTTCAGAAGTTCTGAGATAGTGTCAAGGAAGTCAACAAACGCCCACACTGTATTTTTAAAATGAGTGGATTAATGAATAAGTGAAGAGGTGAGAACCAAGAGCAAGAATATTCTAGTCCCTTCCAATAAAGACGCAAGCTATCTTGTTGGCATGCCACCAACATTCTCAGTGAACACAGATTTTTCAACCCCCAAAGAGGGGGTAGGGTACACAGATACCACCTATGCTTCTTGAACGCTATTTCTTCATGCTCTCTGAAGATGGCTCTCCCCGTTGCCCCGTTTAAAATGAAATCAGTTCACAACCTGTGATTCTGTGAGCACTTCTTTGACAGCATGGAGGGTCTGTATTTTCCTTAGGAAACCCCTTTCTTGGTCATGTCTTCGAATTCAAACATTTCTTCCCAAAGAAGGCCCAGGAGGAAAGCGGTTCCCGCTTCCTCTGGGGGTCTCCATCCACCAGTGCTCTCGTGGGATCTGTGAGGACGCTGGCAGCCGAGCGCGGATCTGCACAGGTGCTAACCAGGACCGAGGGAGGGTGGCACCTTGAGCCGCCCACTACTACTACCCTTTGGCCACCTCGGCCCGCGCAGGCGCGCTCTTCTTCCCCCACCCAGCCCCGCCCTCATTGCACCTGCCAGGTCATAAACCTCCACCCACCCACTCCCACTCCTCCCGGCCGCCCGGGCTTGCCCCTCCTTGATTGGCCAAGAGTCCCCTGGAGCGTGTCCAATCAGCAGCCCTTTCTGCGCGACCTATTCCCGCTCCTCCCGCCCTGCCGGCCTCGCGGGCGCCCAGCTTCTTTGTGACTGGTGCTCGCCGAGGTCACTCAGCGCGCGGTGTGCGATCGGCGGGCGGGGCTGGCTCAGGTGCCGTGGCACGGGACGGACGCGGTGGGCGAGGGGGGCGGTCGCGCCGCGGCGACGTCGGCGGCGTGAGGCTTCGCGCGTGAGCGGCGCGGGCGCCAGGCCTGACGGCCGAGCTCCGGGTGGCGGGCGCGTAGGTCGTTGACGCGGGCCCGGGCCGGAGGTGCGTCCGTCGCCGAGAGCGCGGCGTCGAGGTTCCCGGACCATGGAGGACCCGCAGCCGCTGCCCCAGCCCGAGCTGCCGCTGTGTGACAGCCTCATCATCTGGGTGAGTGTGGTCTGAGCTTGCTGGCGAGGCCACCCGCGGGGCGGGCTGAGCACGGGTACCTGCGGCTGCCACGTCCACCTGCTCCGCAGCCTGTCCGAGCCCGGGCTCTCCATCTAGCCACAGCGCCCCACCGCGCACAGGTGGTTAGGAGGCGCTGGCCACCTCGGTTCCCAGCTTGCTGTCCCTTTGGGCCCACACAGCACCCCTGGCATAAGGACAGCTGAAGAGAGACGGCCAACCTGCCTTTGATGATATCGGAGCTCTTTTTCTTTTTTCTTTTTTCTCTGCCTCCCCTTCCCGTCTTAATGCCTTTTTCTTTTTTAAAGTTTAAAAAATAATTGGCATTTTTGTTTGTTTACGCTTGATGCATATGCAGGATTCATTGGTGCAGACTTGGGATCGGCTCTGTCCTCAGATTTTTCCACTATTCCAATGGGCAAAATGGTTTCTAACTTGTTGAAATTGCCTAGAACTGGCATCCAGGTGTGATTCCTAACCCTTTATTGTGCTCAGATAATACTTGACGTCCCACAAACTACTGTTGATGATTCACAACTCAACCCAGTTGTGTAGTTTTGTGGAGGGCAGTCTGTCAGATCGGAATGTAAGTAGACTGGATCAGGAGGATTACATTCTCCAAGAGATTGCCTAGCCATCTCCTAATGCGAGTAAATCCAAAGGACAAATGGAAAAGATCTCTGGGAGTGTTTGAAATAATGAAGTAACGTTTGCACTTTGGACTTAAATGACAAGTTTTAAGTAGAATGCCAGTAGCTGGGATTTCAGGGTTTAAAAGCATTTTAGCTCGTTGTCAGTCTGCATGTTCATTTAAATTAGCATTTAGGTTTAGCTATTCTGTTTAGGATTGTCAGGAGAGAAGGCAGTATTACTTTTAATGATGTGCTTTGTTTAAAAACAAATGGCTAATCATAGGGTGTGTCCAGGCCTCTAGTTTTGTGCTCTGATCATGACTGAAATGGTAAGCTGGGTTCTTTATGATGTCATGGACTTCCCTGTCAGGTGTTGAAGTACAAGATTTTCTTAAACCGTACTGCACTATTTTAAAATATTATGATCATCTCCATTCTTAAAGCAGTATTTATTAACTTCCTACTCTGTGCTAGGCTCTCAGGAACCAGTTTAGAGCCACGTGTAACTACAATGGAAGGCAAAACTCCCCAAGATCTGAAAAAATACGAACCAAATATAGAATCATAAATAGGATGGCTTGGTTGCCAGTTGGCTTCTGCAGTGCTCCCCCAGGCTGCTGTACACTGGAGAAAAATGAATGACTGACAGACGGTTACTGTCTTGTGTCAGGCTGTTACGGCCAGCTGCACATTTCTGCCTAACACTGCCCAGCTCGGTGATTGAGAATAACCTTGTAGTTCTACTCCTTAGGAAGCTTCATGCACATACTACTTGGCTCTACTTTGAGCTGAATCTTGGCTTTTAGGCAAAAGACTATCTCCTTATCTTTGGGTCTAGCTTAAAAACCTATTCCTTCTAACTCTTCTAGAACATTGTTTTATCATTTATTTTTCTTTGCTGCTTCTGCTGCCCTTCCCCCCAATTGGAGGAGGGGTCTCCGCAAGTGCTCTGCCCAATGTAGCTGTATCCTCAACCTCCTTTCTACTTAATACGTAGTCGAAGATGCCCAGGTTAGCCTTGAACTCACTATGACTGACAGGCCTTTCTGAAGTTATCTTGTAGTTGACTGCTTGGCACCAGAACTCTTGCCTGATCTGCTTTTGCTGTGACCCTAAAAGGAAGAATACTCACTAGGATCTCAATATATTAGATCAAAATAGAGTTGTCTTGGCTCTGCCCTCTAAGAATGGTATTCCACCATTAACTAGTATAGACTTCTCATTCTGAATTTTTAGTTGCCTCATGATTTCAAGGAGTAGAAATCATAGGGGATGCATTCCAAACTCAGGGAAGAGCCGCTAGTAGTAATTAATACACATGAACTCTTTTGTCTATAGCCTTAAGGGTAGTAGTAGCAAATACACATTTGTGGGGTTGTCTTTGGTCCGGAAGGTGTTCCCAAATATGCTGGGTAATTTTGTGTTTGAGAAGAGCTAGCACTGTTTATAAGATTGAAAGAAAAACAACTTGCGGTGGGGACAAGTCGTGCCGGTGAGAAGATGAGGGGAAGTTTAGTGCTGCTTTTTACAGCAGGGATAGGCCTTGCCTGAAGCAGAAGTATCGAGAGAAGCTGGCTAGGCGAAGGCTGTCTCTTTCGGTAACTCTTTAAGTGGTAGATTTTATGATGTGGATGTTTCTTTTAAATAATTCTTAGAATGTACTGCCACTTAGAAAATATAAGGTCAAAGGGAAAAATAGTGTAATTTACCTAAGAGAAGGAATGCGTAAAGTTTGAAGAAATGTTTTCCAATTTCATTCTGATTTGTAGTGTTGTGAGTTTTTTTTTAATACTTTAATTTAATACCTGATAATTTTAATAATTCTTTTTTTTTTGCTGTAACTTCAATAGGTAAAAGAAAGAGTAAAAGCACATATATGTGCATTTTGAGAAAATTGCTGATCAAATTATACTTTGAGATTTTATTTATTTTTATGTGTATGAATATTTCTCTGTGTGTTGAATATTGTGTGTGTGTGTGTGTGTATGTGCATGCACATGTGTGCATGTACTACATGCATGCCTAGCGCCCAAGGTGAGGCCAGAAATGGGTATTGTATCCTCTCAAACTGGAGTTAAAAGATGGTTGTGAGCTGCCATGTGGATGATGGGAATTGAGTCCTATTCCTATGGAAGAGCAGCAAGGCTCCTAACACTGAGCCATCTTGCCAGTCTCATTAAAAAAAAATTGTTGTTGTTCTTGGTTATAAAGCCTTTCAATTTACCCAAGTGAAATCACATTCTGTTACCTACTTTCATTTGAAGTTAAGAGGAGAAGTTGCTTTAAACATAGTGCATTTCATAGATCACCGTATGTGTATGTCTATATTGCTTTTTCAAACTTCTTAAGTTCAGTTATTGCACCCGTGGAAATGGGGCAACTTGAGGGAGCTTCTTCTCCATGTGAGTTCCAGGAATTGAACTCATGAAGGTTGAGAGCAAGTGCTTTTTACTGCTAAGCCATCTCACTGACTCCTACCAGGATTGTTCTGCCTAATATTCTAAAATGGATCTTTTAAAGCCACTAATCATACTGATGTTGTAAAATGTTGATGATGACTTTAAGTTACATATGAAAAGTTAGCATGTAAATAAGAAATGTTGGCAAATGGTAGCTACAATGTTTTCCTTCTAAAGATACTGTAATTTCTCTTCCCAGTGTATCCACCGAGTTGTAAAGTTGTTCTTTCACATCTCATATAACCCATTTCTTCTGTATTCTGAGTTCACATTATATGTGTCTTGGTAATGTCCATTTTATAGACAAGATGGTTGCAGGAACCTCCTAACTCATCTCCTGTACACAAGCACATGTGATATTCTGTAATCTCTAGTGCATTTCTCTTCCCTACCACTCCTTTGTGATTCCTTATTTCTCTAAAGCCAACATGTACAAGAACCACTGTGGACTTTCTGACTTATTGGAGATTTGAACATGTATTTTTAAGTGAACAGGTGTTGTTACACTTCAGGAAAACTTGACTTTTTAGTCCAGATTGTCTAGTAGCCATTGAGCACATAACCATATGCAAATGGCTGATATCATATGCTCCCTCTTTCACAGCGTTCTCCCAACTGTCTTCTGTGGTAGAAACTTTTCCAGTTGTTTCCCATTACATAGATGGTTTTGCTAAGGATGATACCTAGTCCAAGGGTTTGTCAGTCCTTCAACATCTTAACTCCTGCCTGTCTCTTCATTACCCTTGGTTGACAATCTTTTCTCATCCTTTGTACTGACAATCCAGTGATACTTAAATGCATGCTCCTTAAAAATGTCATGTTTTCTATTATCTGTGTATGATAAAAATATTCATATTTCCCGAGGGTTCCTTCCTCTGGCCCTTGACTTCAAAGTTTTGCTGTTTAACCCTCAAGCCCTCCCATCCAGGAACTTTCTACAAGAAGGCTTTTCTAAATTACAAATTTTAATTAAATTAATTAACTTTTTTTCTACTTTCAAAAATAATTCATGTATATTGTGAATATGAACTAATCAAGTTGTCACAACATGACATGTGCCATTTTCTCTTTTTTGCAGTTTTTAATGATAGCAGCTTTGAGGGAGAATCTGGTGATTTGCCTTTGTAATCTTGTACCACAGTGCCCCATATCAAGTAGGAGCTCAAGAAAGTATCTTCATGGGATTTGAAAGCAGTAATAGCTAGCTTTAGTCTTCCCATTCCATCTCTCTTTTGTATTAGAAAAAACAGGGACAGATTTGTTGAATCTCAAAATGCACAAAATCATAGTGAGTTATGCTGGAATGGAAGTCTATGGACTTTGATAGTTAATTGGTAAACTTGAGGATAGTAAGTGAAT